ATCTCATGAAGTTCACACGGACCTTCCCCTAAAGCCTGTCAAAATTCCTCTGGATGACATCTCCTCCCTCTACCTTACCAACTCCCCCACTCAGCTTGATGTCATCCACAACAGGGCTGACAGTGCATGYAATCCCACTGTCATGATACTAAGTCGTGATGGTGCCAGCCCCTTTATTACAAAGTCACTACATAAAGTATTAATATGATTAAATCTATTTTATACTCTATTYACATTAGTTATTTCCAAAACACAACAGAAATATGTCAGAGACATGTAATGTGAAGGATGACAAGCAGAAAACTTTTAATGGAGTGAGGGAGAAATTTCACACAATGTAGTTTAAAATCAAAAAAAGAAAGACCACACTCTTGTTTAGAATTACTCACAATGAAAAAGGGARTATGTATTAAAATCAAAAGATAATGGATAGAGTGATTTTAAAAACCATCAACATATATCACTTTTCCCTCAAGTCAGTGAAAATCAGAAATCAGGCAAGCAACTGACAAAACTTCCAGGTTCACTGAATAGAGTATCTCACAAATGAGAAACAATCATCTTTGAGGGTCCAAGATAAATTTCATGTCCTGATGTGAGGCATAAGTTTCCAGCACACAGGTTATGTGGAGGCCAAAAGCCAGCACTGCGGCCTTGCAGATTTGAATCTGAAATTCAACCGATAATGATGTACCCCTAAGATGTGGAAAAACAAAAGGGAATCCAAAACTCTGSATGGAGGAGGAGGAGACAGAGGAGGATGTTACCCAGGCAGCGCAACTAATGGCCTTAGGCTGACTGTGATAAAAGGAAGAAGGAATGTTGAAGAAGAACAAAGTCAGATAAGGCAGATGCCAAAGACAGAGCAAAAATCGAGAAAATAAGGACACCACAGCTTTTGCAATGCACCAACCATCTGCTGATGAGTAGAGAATGGGCTGCTGATTAGCCAATAGACAGCTGCCATTTATGGGGAAGACTTAGTATATGCACTGTTGCTAAATAGATAAAAGGGGCTCAGCCCAGTAATAAAGAGTGTTTTGCTCATTATTTGTATCACCTTGTCCATCTCTACTGCATAGAGGACTGTCTCTACTCATAGAGGATTCCACCTCTATGCTTTCATCCAAGAGGTGAAATGAGGTACAGCAATGTACCACAAGTAAGAGACTATTTTGCCCACTATTTTTCAAGGTAGAGAAAGGTAATAGAAAAAATACATGCTGATATGCAATCACAAAGACAGAGCACCCAATGAATAAATTTTTTGATCGAGTACTATAGCTTCTATATTCCTGAAATCTGAATCACAAATAAAACTACAAGGTACACACGACCAAAAAAAAGCCTCATTATGAATCCAACATCAACCATGCACAGAGCAGGGAATAAATTATTCTGAAGAAACCCACTCAAACAGACAAAAAAACCAAACTTCCACCAAACACCAATCCTCAAGATTCCTACGGAAAGCAAAYGTCATTCTCCAAGACAGGCAACAAGAAGAATCCCAAGAACTAAAGGCCAGTCTGTGAGCCTCACCTCAGTCTCTGGCAAGATGATGGAACAATTATTCCTGGAAACCATTTCYAGGCACATGAAAAACAAGGTGATTTGCTATAATTAGCATGGATTCATGACGGGGAAGTTAAGGCACACTTGACCAACTTAATTCTACAGTGAAATGACTCGTTTGGGAGAGGAGATGAAAGTAGTGGATAGGGTCTGCCCTGACTTCAGCGAGGCCTTTGGCACACAGCCAAAGATCCTCATAGACAAGCTGCTGATGTGGGCTGAGAGTGCAGACAGAGAGGTGGGCTGCAAACTGCCAGAATGGGTGGTAAACAAAGACTAGTTGGAGGCTAGTAACWAGAGCATACCTTACCAGCAGATATAGAGCCCAGTTTTATGCAACATCTTCATCAATGATCTAGATGATGGGACAGATGCACCCTCAGCAAATCTGCAGATGACTCAAAACTGAGAGGACTGGCTGGTACACCAAAGGGTTGTGCTGCTATCCAGAGGGACTTGGACAGGCTGGAGAAATGGTCTGACAGGAACCTCATTAAGTTCAACAAGAGGAAATTTAATATCCTGCACTTGACTTCAAGCACCAGTACAAGCTGGATGCTGCCCAGCTGGAAAAGAACCTGAGGCTCCTGGGGGACACCAAGTGGAGCCACCCTGGGCTGCAGTAGGAGGAGTACTGCCCACAGGCTGAAGAAAGCGATCCTTCYCCTGTTCTCAACAGTGGTGAAACCCCACCTGGAGCAGGATAACCAGTGCTGGGCTCCACAGTATGGACATACTGGAAAGAGTAGAACAAAGGCCACAAAGATGATCAAGGGATTGGAACACCTCACATACAAGGAAAGGTCAAGACAGCTTTTTATGTCCTTACCTGAAGGAAAGCTGCAGAGACTGAGCCAGATTTTTCAGTATGGTCAGTGACAGAACAAGAGGCAATGGGCAAAACTGAAACACAGGAGGCTCTCTCTGAGAGGAAAACACTTTGGCACACTGCGGGTGCCCAAAACTACCACAGGCTGCTCAGGAAGGTGGTGGAATCTTCATYCTCACGCATGTTCAGGTACTGTCTAGACACGATCCTGAGCAACTGGCTTTAGCTGTCCCTGAGTGAGCAGAGGGGTTAGATCAGATACACTCCAGAGGCTCCTCTCAGCTTCAACTATTCTGTGATTAGATTGCCGGAACTTGTGATAATATAAAAATCTCTTTTTTTCTGTATGTAATACTGCTTCTGGAAGAGAAGTGATCATTGTAAATTGGGAACTCATATATGGCCAGGTGAACAAATACCAATATAGAGGGCATATTTACAGGATCAACTGTTTTATAAGTTATACCCATATACACATATTAAAGAGGGTATTAATAATTTGATACACATCTCTTTTTACAAAGAATAAGTTAATTTAATCTCTAAATCAATATATATACCTAAATTGTAGATCTAATCTAAAAAGCAACCATTGTTCTGTAAGTATTTTTCAGGCTTATAACTTTATGTAACTYTGATTGAAAAGACGATGATGAATGTTTACAGAAAATTGACTACTACAGCAGTGTACTACAAGTGAGAGAATAYTTTGTACACTATTTTTCAAGGTAGAGAAAGATAATACAAAAAACATGCTGTTATGCAATTACAAATAGAATATCACATGAGACAATACAGTCACCTACTGCACTTGTAAGATATTACAAAGAGATTCAGAAGATTATAAGGAGATGGCAAGTTTTTCTTCCATTACACTGCCATTTTTTTTAGTATTTTATTTCTGTGTGCCTTGTTAGCAGAATAAATACTTTATTCAGCAATTAGTTTTGTGAACTTAATCTTTAAGGAAAATTCTCATGAACTTCAAGTCTACAGKATTAATACTTCAGAGACCTTCAAAACAAACTGAGAAAGCAAATTCAAGTTCAAATTCAAACTGATAATCAAATTGTTGTTTGGGCAAAAAGGCAGGAGGGAAAATGATGGTTTAAGCACATGGAGAGACACACACCTGTATTTAAACCTGCTTTCACATGAAAAAACAAGTAAATTGCACTATGGTATTTCTGCAGTTGCTTTCCTGCAAACTCAATTAAAAATGACAGTTCATAAATTCTTTATATAGGATGCAATAGAGTAGGAAAACACTACTGCATTAAAAGATGGTGCTGGAGTTAGAAAGAACCCCCAAAACCCTAACATACACCAGAAACACTGCATGTTGCACGGCTCACAAAACTTGAGGCAAGTAACAGAGTAATGTCATTCCTAAATCAGGTCACAGAAGGACCACAGGTATGTATGTACAAGCTGGAAACAAAGGAGACTGAAAGGTGCTTTTATTACCGTACCACTGACCATTTAAATTTTGGGACTTGTACAATTGGCATTGGTAACCTCTCAAAAAAACCCAGAAACCCAAAGTATCTCACTAACTCAATTTTTTTTTGCATACTTACAGAATTGGTCATTTACTCTGTTACATTCATGAAGTATTATAATTTTGCTATCAGAATAAGTTTTGGGTCTAAAATTGCTGACCTTTACAAAGGATCAAGTTTAAAGAAAAAAATCCAATGTCACGCAATTCTGAGTATCTTTAGTCTGTTTCATGGGAATACATCATCTTCTCAAAATGTGAATTTTACCTCTAAGTAAAATTCTAGATTTATTTAGGTTCAAACAGGCTGGTACAAATTATGTTGTTCTAATTCTGTCAGTGCATCATATCTATTTAATATATACAATTAATTTTCTATGATTATTTTACTAATCATCAAGTAACAAGATGAATCTTAACCCAACAAGATACAGAGCAAAGTAAGAGAAAATTAATTCAATGTTTCATAATTRTTTCCAAAAATTTGATCCTCGTTGACACTGGTGTGTTCTACATGCAACTCCTTAYGCATTTGAAGGTTTATTATGAATCAACAAAATAATGCTATTATATATTTTCATAGATATAGCCATCTCCGCCTAAAGATACAATGAGACATCCACAGCATGTAGCAAGTTTGAACTGGCAATAGGTACAYAGGAGGCAAGATTATTATGTCATCATAGGAAAAAGCCTCAAAATTGTAATATGTATCTCACAAAATTCACCACCTAACCAGCTTACAAAATTAAAGATGGCAGGAGCTCAGACACAAGAGAGAGAATCACCAGCTTGATGAGTTCCTGAGCACACTGTTCCCTGGCCCTGTTGTAGAGCCTGTTCACAAACCTCTCCAAACCGTGAGCAGGTTCCCAATAGCGCATTTATAGCCAGGTTCCAACAGTCAGAGCAGCTCTTTATGTAACATGTAACACCTCTTTAAGACAATAGAATTCAACTGTCTCGGTCATATTTATCTAATACCTGTAAGTGCTCTGGCTTGTCACAAACTTTGTACCTTAGCTCAAACTCCTTGCTTTAAAACAAACTAATAMAACTTTATTCACCCTCAGAAGAAAAACCATACACATTTACCTTCTGAGGGGTCAAAACCCTCTGCCTGAACTTTTCAATTGTATCTTGACCTGCAGCCGCCCATGCGCTAGCAAATGCTTCAGCTTTGTCTTCATCCAGGTGAATGCTTTGTAGCTGCTGTTGCAATGAAGCAGGCTTCAAATTGTGATAGACTGCCTGTTAAAGGTAAAATAATGCCTGTTGCTAAGTGCTGTTCTAAAAGTCATACCAGATATATTCTACCACAAATGGTCACCATGTTCACACAACATTTTTACTAGCAATTCCACTAGGGGAACTACATGCATTTTGTTCATCTTAACCCTCTTACTTGGGAGATGGAAAACTCCATCTCAACATACATTGTTAGAAGTGACTCAAGACAGAGAAACTAGGAAAAAAAATGTAGACACAGGCCAGATCTAAGTATATATATCGGCTTCCACTGTATATAATAGCAAAGCAGTTACCTCAGAAAATAAATGGGCTTTGAAGCCAATTGTGACTGTGAAGAAAAGGAAAACTTTTCCAAATTCACACTATTCAAGCAAACCTAAACTACAAGGCAAGATTCTAAAAAACTAAGAGCAGTTTGCCACACTGAGTGAGTTAAATATTACCAGCCTATTAGCATAAATTGTTTTGTGGCATGCATTCTGTACAGTTCTTCACTTTCAAAATAGGACTATGTCAACACCAGGTCAAGGAAAAAAAAAGCAACAACATATGTGGCAAAGACTGTACAGAAGTCTTTTTCTCTATAATGACTTCATAAACCAAAGGGCTGTTAAAAAAGTTATGGTCTCACTGAACAAGCATCTGCTCCAAGAGGCACAGCTATCAGCAGGAACACAAAGAGTTCTCATACAACATGTAGTCCATCTGGGACTCTTTTTTTTTTGGCAGATATTACTATTCTTCCCTCTCTTTTATTTTAAATGCAAAAGAGGTAAGAAGATAATTAACCACATTTTCTCTTCATCTTCAATAAACATAACACAAATTAAGCAGGCTGATGAAATAACAAGGCAATAAATAGGTAGTTCTGCTGCTTTGCTGAAACRAAGGGATGAAAACTGAAAATTCCAGCCCTCAGATTTCATTTTGATTTTTTGGTGGATGGAAGCCATGGGGAGGACTCTTTGTTTTATTTCTAATGCAGTGGAATGTGTTCATTAAGTGAACTGATCGTAAACTGAAATGTGTACAAAACGACCCCATTTAAATCCCACAACAGAACATCATATGCATGCCCTCTGCACAGACTACACTTTCTGTATTTGTGTGAAATGGATGAATAACGTCATGGGTTGGACAAATTTTAGAACAGTTGCCATATTTACCAGGTAATACAACAACTTCCAAACCTTAGTCAGAGGTAGACCATGGAATCAKAAAACCTTCTCTGTTTACAAGGTGACCACACCATGCTACACTATGCTAGTCATCCACTCATCCAAACACTGGAGCTACATTTGGTGTGCCTGTTCACCTCAGTAGTGACTGCTTCTGTGCATGAAAATTTTCCATAACTGACTCTTAAAGTAACTTAAGTTGTGCTCAGTAACATTACCCAGCATTTTCCTCATAAGAACTTAAAAAACGCACGTTGTCTTGTTTACAATGAGTAAGAGGGAAGAATGTATCTTGTAATTATCAACACTTCACTTGGAGTCATGCAGACTTCACTTCCATCATTAACATTTACATTAGCTGAAAAATCACTCCACAAAGGCACCTACTCCCATCCAGAAAGGCATGAAAACAAATGTAGTTAAATCATGACCCCAAAGCACACATAATAAACTACAGATTTGTTTTCACTAGGTCCTTTTAAAGTTCACTGTCATGTTTTTGAAATCTACAGTTGGATAAAAAATGACTTTATCAATGCAATTATCAATTATCAATAATTATCAATATAATTATGAAAGCAAAATACCTGTTCCAAAATAAATGATATAGCTTCAAGAACCAGATGAAGATCCTGTTTTTCCAGTGAAAAAGCTATTTGAAGTTTTTCTTCCTCCTCTTCACTGAAGGTACTTTCAGCCTGAAGCACAAAAATGGTTAGTTCAGACATTTCACTTAAGGACYAAGAACACATTTGTCAAATAAAAACTTTCTTCCATCTTTATAAACGTAGTGGCTATCCATTGTGGCTATCCATTGTTTCTAAATAGAAATTACAAAGCAAAGTTCTTTTCCAACAGAAAATGCAACTGCTCTCCCTGAAAATCAAAATTAAAAGCCAACACTGCCACAGTACCTGACATCCATCAGAAGAAAAGGGWTTTCTTTTATACTTCATAGACACTACAGAAATATTCTTCTTTCAATTATGAGATCATCCCCAAAAACCTTTTATAAATAAAAATAAGTACAAAGTGCATCACTTAAATCACACTCCAGAAAACAGAAAGCAAAACTGTACGTMAGTTAGTTATGTATTATTCTTCCACTCTGGATACACTTACAAAAACAACCTATATTGTTGCGAAGGAAATAAAGGCCTAATGTGTATTTATTTTTAAAGTCAGATTTGAATCTATACCCTAGTCTGTCAGTGAAGACAATTAAGAATGTGCTCTACTTTTAAAATACAGCAGTAGTACTTATTATACTGCAGCAAATTAAATAGTAATTTAAAATRCAGATATGGCTTTCTTTTAAAACGTAATTATTAACAAATCCATTTATAGACATCAAAACACCACATTTAGAACACTGAGTAATCCAAAAACCGCAAAGCTACACAAGCAAAACAATTCAACTGTCCAAATAAAAAAATGATGCAATTACACGAAACTTTCAATGATCACAATGTTTGTAACAAGAGGATCAAAATGAAAACATTATTTGAATCATTAGCAATTAAAAGGAAATACAGAGCTCTCAGTGTCTGCTTTGTTAAGGCAATGAAGCTCATTTCCAGTTTCTAGCAATTTAACTTGCCCTTAAGTTAGGTACTTTAGAAAGGTCAGCAAAATTGTTCATGAGATTCAGTGGGTTAAATTACAATAATCACTACAGCTCATGCTAATGCTGATTAAAATTGTGAAGAGCTACTAAAATGYTATGGAGTAGTAACAAAGAATAAACCAACCAAACAAAAATTTGGTGATACTTTCCATTTATGAAAGAGTTAATATCCATGCAAAACAACTGAGAAAACTCTGCAATAACAGCAGAATCCAAGCTAGTAATGTTAACAGAAGAAAAAAACAGCAGCTGAATCAAACAAAGCCTTACAGTCTCCGAATTTTAACCTTTAATATATTTGCATTTTTTCCATGCTGCTCCTGTAATATTTGACCATTTAATCTGTATGTGTATGTRTATACATAAACAAATTCTTTGTTTCTTTTTATGCTTTTTCTGAACACAAAACAAGGGAATGAACAAAATCTGACATTGAAAGACAACGAAACTAACAAAATAATTTCTGGTGTAAGATTCATTTTACAGTTTCCCCTGCAATATTCAGTACCAAGTTTAGAGGTAGTCTGCATGTGACATTTTGGCACTGTGCAATTAAATTTACTTTTTTTTTTTTAATTCTGCAATTAAAAACATCTTCTGTAAAGATGACAGAAATACTCACTAAAAGCTCTGAATTTAACTTTTAGCCTCAATTCCATAGATGTCTTTGGGTAATGGACATGCACAAATGCAGCAAAAYAAATAAAACATGCTTATAGTGTTTCCCTCGTGTTGTAAAATGTGAAACATGTAAAATTTTCTTAAGAAAATATTTCTTTGATGTTTGATCTTTGTATGCTTTCAAGCCCAATCAACAAGAAAGGAGATTTAATCCAAGAAGCAGAAAGCAGCTAACAAGCTCTAAGTGATGTGCAGGTTTTAGAAARACAAATCATTTGCTGCAAGATTTGCCTTGTTCAGGTTGAGGGGCTGRCAGGCATCAGTGACCTCAGACCTAGGGGGAGGTTAACAAAACTCGGGAAGAAGGATGTACCACTGATAACGAACACAAAGAATGCAGAATTTATGAGCCTCAAGGACATTTGGAAGAGCTCCCAAGATAAGGGAGAAACCAACAACGCCAACTCAGCAACAGTGATGAAATCAGCTCTGACTGGGAAAAAGGTAATTCCTGAAGGGAAATCCGTGACCACCGGCTCACAGACCAGCAACCCAAGAAACCCACTGACTCAAAAGAAAAGAAAGAGAGAGTATGGCGGCTAATTAGCATGGGAATTAACCAGGAGAAAACAGAATACTAATTAGTAAGAACTAAGAACWTTTTGCCAATGAACACTAATGCCTTTATTTGCTAAAACATACAAATAGTAAAAAGTTTTGATGGTTGGGGTGCTTGACTTGGAGAATACCACCTAACACCAGCCCTGCATAATTCTGAAATAAATAACCAGTATCTCTCTCGAGTGTGTAATCACTGGCTTTTTGCAAATCGATAAMCAAATCTGATTTTTGTGGACAACACCCGAGGGGCGGAGTTTGAGCAAAAAGCCAAGCAACTCGCGTGTCCTCAGATAGCGCTGTCGGAGGCACCAGCACYTGGAGGCAGTGGGCTCTAACACGCATCACTCATTCTCACGCCATTCGTTACCGGCTTTTATTTCATACCTCTGAAATAGTTCTGAAGAATTAGTGATGAATAAAATAAGGATTTAAAATCTTTTAAAAGGGGGRATCATTTAAGGCTTCGCAGTGGCGCGGCCCAAGCTCCAGCCGGGCCGGGCCCCACGCCCTCCCAGCATCGCCGAACCCCCGCTCCCGCCCGCCCCAGCGGGACACGGCCCCCGCCAACCTTCAGGTGCAGCTTCTGGAGAAGGCGGGAGAGAAGCCGCGGAAACCGGCCCGGGTCCACGGCGTTGAGCAGCGACACGGCCCTGCGGATGCTGGAAGGAAGGRGGGAAGGTGTCAGAGGGGCCCTGGCTCCGCTGCGCCCCGGCACAGTGGCGGGCCCTGCCCGGACCGGACCGGACCTGCCCTGCCCCGCCCCGCCCGGCCTGGTCCGGCCCGGAGGGACAGCACAGACCCGCGGGAGCGGCGCCGCCGGAGTGTCCGTACCTGTCGGTCTCCGGCACCACGGGCGCCGCCATGGCTGCAGCGCCGGCCCGCCCCCGACGGCGGCCTAGCGGGGCCAAGCGCCGCCGCGCCGCTCGCAGCGAACCGGAATGCGCTGGGTTGAGAAAGGCATCTGAGATCATCGAGTTCCGATGCTCAAAGAGTCTTCTTTTTGGACATAGACCTCTGGCACTATAGATTAATTTTCCTGACACTCCTAAGGTCCAGCCTAAACCTCGCTGGGTGCAGCTTGAGGCTGTGTCCTCTTGTCCCGTTGCTGGTAGCCTGGGAGAAGGTGTCACCCCTCATCCTGTGGGGAGGGAGCAGGGGGACCTGGGGGCGCTTCCCCAGGAGGGGCTCCACAGCAGCGGCGTGGGAGGGCTCTAAGCCACCGTGGTGCCCACCAGCAGGTACCGGGGACGAATGCTCATCCTTCAGTCACATCCCTGAGTTCCATGCTGTGTGGAACTGCTCAGGCTCCACAGGGTAATTTTGTTCCCGTGTGGGAGTGAACAGTCAGCCCTAAAACCCCGTCATCGTGATTCTTGTTTGTAGGCCGCGAACTTCTCAAAGCAAGTTGTCATGCTTACGGGAACAGTGAATTGTTCTGGAGGCCRTGGAATCTACAGTGATGGGCTGCATTCCCACCTTCCCTAAATAACCTGTGYCCAGGTAATGCTCCCAAAGTCTCACCTCATCCCACGCCACTGTACTCCCCCATATAAGGCGCAGAGCACACCATGTCCTGTTTCAGGCCAAGCTAAATGTTCTCAAGTCAAGCTAGATGAAAAGAACTACTAACTTTCAAGCATTGAACTGTGTGTTTCTAGACTTGAATGGATGCAATGACTGTGAGGCTTCTGTTTTCCATCAGATTTGGCTGAAATTGAAAAACTGGATCAAAAACAAAAATAATCAAGTCAACTTTAGTTGATCAAAGTCAACTAAAAATATTAAGTGTCTTCAAAGACTTGTGAAAGTGGCTGCAAACATTTATAAGATGTGTCATGAAGTTAACTAATGGCAACAAATTATGGTAGGTTCAAGAGATGAGTGGGRAAAGGTTTCAGATTTTTGAGAGCGCTGTGAAGAATTGTTTTATAMACATATATGCTGAAATCTCGCCCCTGTTAACTGAAGGGAATTTGGTCAATAGGGTCAGCTTCAACATGGTCAGCATTTCAGCCAGAACATCTGAAAAGATAATGTGCTTTTAAATAGACTTGGCCTTAAGAAGCAACTGCAGGGGAAAAAAAAAAAAAAGTGACAAATGTGGCCGTATTCCAACAGGAATTTAAAAGCGGATAATTCCTCGCTGGGACTTTAAAAACATTTGTGCTATGCCTCTGTCCCGGGTAACCCAAAATGTTACTGTATTCCATATCTATCCGTGCCCAAAATTGTTACTGACACTTYAAGACTCAGCGCCACAGCCAGAAACAGAATTGCAGGGCTGGTGGGGGTGGTGGTGATGCCTTTAAAGAGCTGAAGTGCCCATGCTGAGTACTCTTGTCCCTTCTGGCATTTGCTCAAGGCAAAGGCTGTTTAAGGTGGATTTTTCTGAGCTCASAACAGCAGCAACCTTAAAAGCTGCAGTCAGAACCTGTTTCAGAGTGCATTTTGCAAYGTCTGTCAACCGTGCAAAGCTTGAGCCAGTTGGGATCAGGTCATCACAGATCGATTCTGAGAGACTGTTTCTTCCCTCCTGCTCCTTCCCAACACCCCCATGGCTCTGGAATAGTAGCACCAATGGCAGTGGAGTTCAGCAGGTGACAGAAGGCTGAAAGACAACAGGACCAACAACCGAATAACTAGAGGCTGACACCGCAGGGCCGGAGTCACACACCGACAAAACACCTGCAATTTCCATCTGCTACCAGAAGTGCTTTGTAAGTTCCTACCTTCCCAGGAGGGTTTTGACACTATTTTCCCTTTGTCTTTCAAACCACACTGCCAACTATGGAGGGCTGCCATCCTAGGCSGGGTCACTCCATCATTCTAAGTTTCTCTTTTTTCCTGGGGCAGATCAGTGAGATTTAACTATTTTGTATCTAGCGATTATTCACTGTTACTGTTTGCCTGTTGCTGTTTCACTTGTTAGTAAACTGTTGGTTTTTTTTCATTTATATTTTTTCTCATTCATTTCTCCTTATTGGTGGAAAACGACTGGTCCAAACTATAAAGGGAGGTAACTCGTTGCCAAGCATCCCCTTTTTAAATTGTCTTAAAGCAAGACAAACTCTTACCAGAAGCTGGACCCACAGTCACTGTTATGAATGACCATTACATTTTTCAAGCTATTGTTCTGGGATGAAATACAATTACATTCAACTATTCCATCTGGTTCTCTGTACTTTTATTAAAACATGAAAAAACAATATTCTTGAAAGAAATTTACTTGGCTGGAAAAGAAAAATGAGTGTTTTGTGCTACACTGAAAAAAAAAAAAAAACCAAAAAAACCCAACAACTTCTTGTTCCAGGAAATCAGGAAATCTTCCCCAAGAGCGGAATTTTATAAAGTTTGTACAGGCAAAATGAGCAAGGGCAGCTGGAAAGCTAGACAATTGCTTACTTACTTTATAAAGTTCCAGTTGATACAGATATTGGATGTGCCACTCAGATTTGCTGCCAATTCTCTGATTTTATAACCTCRATCTATTTTTAAGTGTTTTCTTTCACACTTTGCTGCATCAAATGAGTATTAAAAATGAATAATCAAGAGAATGAACATTAAGAATTCTGCTAGAAAGGWTCCTTAGCAATTTGCTCCAGCTGGACCTGCATGATACACACTTAAGGTGTCATTAGTAGGGAGGAATAAAAAATCTTTCCGAGATAGCAAGTCAGAAGAAGATTTGGGTATTAAGACTTTCTTGGGATCTGTTCCCAAGTTTCTTCMATCAAGAGGTATCTTTTTGCTGGAGCAAAAGGTCTTTGTCACAGAGAATGGCCTCTTGTAAGGAAGAAAAGTGGTGCCACACTCAAAGTAGGAAGAGTCTCCGCGAAAGCAAACAAGCACTAGGCCCAAGGAATGATTCCCCCACTAGTAGCRCACTCCTGGAAATCACCTGCAACCATCTGCAACCATCTCTAARATCCAGAAGGACCCTTACTCCTCAGGGTGTGGGAACCCATTGAGAATGAGAACAAGTACCCCATAAGAAAACTGGGTGTAAGTTATTATATTTTAAGTCTGTCATGTCTTGCACGAAGAGGAAACTTTTGGAACTGAAGAGACTTTTCTGTCCAGAAGGAAAAATATCCAATCTGTTTTAGCCCATACAATTAATGACCAATTGACACTTAATGTGCCAAATGCTGTCAAAAAAAGTGCTGACTGAACATGCTGGTTTCAGTCTTTCAGCCTGGGCAGCAAGAAAGAGTTGCTGAGAGTTGTTTCCACTCTCTTTTGCTTAATATACAGAAGAACTTGGGAAGTAGTGACCTGGTTTCAAAGAACAGTGTTACCTCAAATGCCTCCTGCCTAACCTGTATGAGAAATGAATGCATCAGGATGAAATGGCTCTTGGACAAACTAACACAAAAGAAAGAGCTGTGTCACACATCTGAGTAAATGAACAAGCAGAGAAATAAGAAAAAAATCTCTCATTAAAAGTAATACAGTTCAGCTTCCCAGGATAAGAAATTAATCTTGTCCTAACAGTTCAGATACCTTCAATTTTAGAAAGTCAGCATTCAGAAAGGACTGGCTAGGTGCCTCAGCAAAGCTCACAAGGATGAGAAAGAATGAAATACATACTTTTACTTGATGGGGAATGGTAAAGTTTTCTAGGTAGGCAGCAATAAAGAAGGACAAGCACCACTGCCAGATGTTCACTCAAGACAATTCATAAAACCAAGATTTACTTTAATAAAATATGAAGWAAAAAGAACAATGCTCAGGTACAGAAACTAAAAGAACGTAATCAGTCAGGGACAAAAAATGGTAGCACACTGATCACATTTCCAGCTTCAGTCTCAATTGTATCATAAACCCATTTTCTATTGCAGCGACATTCTGGTCCACATTTGTTGGAATTGCATTTGGGGCAAGGATAGAAGCAACCCAGGCAGTCCATTTCCAGGCAATCACACAAATCTATGTTGTTACAAAGCAGCCTGCCATGTTTGTCGTATTTCTTTGTAAATCTGTGAAAGAGAACAAAAGCAATTCTCAGAATGCTTCAATGCAGTCAGAGACTAAACCAAACACATGTGGAAAACATCTGTACAACAAGGATTTAGTCTTTAACAAACTCACAGCACAACGAAATACCAGCATTACATCCTAATTGCAACAGTCATTGGTATTAAAAATAAATGCATACCAAACTATATCAAAATTTCTTTAAGCCACACAAAAAAAATCTTGTTTCCCAACATAGCTTTCAAGTGTAATAAGAAATCTCTCTGCAAAATGCATTGCTTTTATTAATTTCATTTCGATTCAGTGAAAAGCCTACCAGCCTTTTTTTAAAGTAAAGTATGTAATAAATTAGAGGTCTTACTTGGACTCATTAAAAAAACTTTGTTTCATCTGTGACATGTATGCTTTCTTTTTCTGCTGTCTAGTTTCAGGATTGAAGTCAGCTACCTGAGGTCCTGGATTTTGAAAGGCTAAGCATTTTAATTGTTTCTCGAGTTTTTGCTATAAATAAACAACAGAAAGTTTGTAATTAGTACAACTGGAAAATATATTTATTAACTGCCAAGTGTCCTCACTGGCTTTTGAATTACATTAAAATTAATATTCCTGATAACTCATAAGATCATATTGATTATTTAAAATGTTTGTTTGTGTAACTGTTGAGTATTCCTTTTAACGACCGTGCATCCTGACTGGAGATGGAACTATCATGACTCTGAATACATGACTCTGGTACAGTAGCGTGCAGTTTGCAAGTTGTCATGTGAGAGGCAGAACTGTATGTTTTGTTCTTCAACTTCATCTAAAATGTGTAAACAAGTACTATGATTATAAGCATCTCAAATGGATTCCTTATCTTCACTGTTCCCACAGATGCCCAGAAACAATCTTTGTCCAAACAATCTGAGGGCAAGAAAAATATTCTGAAGGAGCAACTAATGTTTGAAATTAGCTAAAAATGCTGAATACTTTTGGAAGTTAAAACATCATCTCTTTGTATTACCGTTCCATATAGATTGTGTATGTTGACAGATGTTTCTAAAGTCACTGCAAACAAGCATGAGCATTGCATTAAATGATTTCCCTTTGGACAATGACTGTGGACTTTGACCACACACCTGTCACTCCTTATGAAAGGCACAAAAATACATACAAATTTATCTTTTCTCCTGTTACATAAATGGAACTGTCTCTCATAAATGTGCCATYTCTCAGCTTCCCTGAAGTGTGTCATTCAGTTCAAGAGTCCGCAGTGATTTTCCACAAACAGTCGAGCCCTTTCATTGTTTCTCATGGGGAAAGCAGTGGTGGCTCAGCCCAGTCTGCTGATACAGTGACTCATAAACATCCACGCACTTGAGAGCACTTTTTTACAGGGTGGTTGATGCTGTGCATCTTCAGCTGCATCTTCCTGAAAACCTGCAGGGCAATCTCATGTATCTACATTGTCCAGATGTTTCTGCTTTGGATTCTAGAGTAGATTTTCAGCATCATCACTATTTATGATTGTAAATTATGCAACTTTAAGTTGCAAACAAAAAATAATCCATTATGATAGTCCTCCCWCTATGAATACTTTCTTGTTTCCCTACTTACTTAGAATTACTCTTACCCTACCCTTAGAATTATCCTCTCACTGCACTGCAAACTTGATCCATTTCACTGTTGTTGCTACTGATACTTCCCTTTTGACTCCAGCTCTTTATTTTTGAAGAAATTAAAGACAATGGTAAGTATCTTGATAATAAAACAGTACTGAAGAAGTCATACCAAATTTTTGGAGCAGTCCTTAGCAGGAGACACATTTTTTGCTGCAGATGTTTCTTGGGAAGAATAGCTTTTCTTGCAGTTTTCTTCCACGAGATCACTCATTTGACCACCCTTCTGAAACACGTACATATTTGTTAGACATATACAAYAGTATAAACAGACTTGTAATTTAAAGTTCTAAGGTGAGCAGGTGCTATCCTTACTTGGCTTTTATGTATTCTCAATCAACAGTAATGCAAAACAAAATATGTCTCAGCAGCAGGCTCGATTTTAAAACCATACTAAAATAATACCAAGAGCAAAAAGCTGTATCACCAAAGCCACAGCATAATTCGCTAAGCAAACGTCGGAAACCCCAAGCGATTAATTAACACAGAATTCAGAAGGGCTGTTGCCATGTGCGGCTCCGTGGCGCGGCAGGGACGCAGTCCCCATGCCAGCCAGCAGGTGACACTGCTGCCCCAGCCCTGTGTGGCAGGGCGGGTTGCGCCCATCGCCAACATTCCCTGTTGGCGGGGAACGTTCAATCTCCGGATTCACTGTTCTTCCCGGGGATTTCAGCCAACGGAATAAACTTAAGGTTCTTGGCTTTTGAATCTCACTCCTCTGCGAAAGATTTTTTTTTTCATAAGTAAAATGTGTACTTTTTAGGTTTAAGAGAAAAACAGTGCATCACTCACTCTGCTAGCAAACTACCCAGGGGATCTATCCTACAAATGCCATCCATCACCTCCCTGCCATCAACACAGGCTCGGGATGGATGTTAACTATTTCTTACCAACCTTGTGCAACTACTTAGTTTTAAACTTATATGCAATATATGCTGTACCAGTGCCTGAGACTTCAACCCCAAATACAACCAGAAGTAAGATTCCTGGAGGTCCTCCAACCCTTCCCCAGGCGCTGCCCAGTCTCTCCCATTACCTCTGAAAGGTAGCACAGTGGTCTCTGTCAGTTTATCCTGTACTTCAGGACCCCAACCCTGTCGCAGCGGGATCCCAACTCTGTCGCAGAGAAAATCTTCATTTCATCACTGCTGAAGAACCAGSATTTCTCTAAGACATGCAGGAGTCTAAGCCTTAGGTTTCCTCTCTTGCAGCCACTTCCTGCAACTGAAGTGAGAATAGGAATGAGAAGGGARTGAGTCTGCAGTAACTGGAAAGGTTGTCTTTTSGAGAAGTGAAAGAGCCTTCAGCCTGTTTCWGAGGGGCTTTCCCATTCTCTTCAGTAACCTGAAGAATGACAGTGTTCACAAAGTGAACATGCGACACTGTTCGCAAAGGGATGCTTGACAGCAACTATTTTAGTCCTGGGACTTGAGTACCATTTCAGGATTAGCAAAGGAATTCTATTACCAGGAAAATAGTATTTACTGGATGGGGAACCTGCTTTCCTACAGGAAATTYGTTTGGGTTCCACAAATGACACAAGAATGAAGAGCGTAATTTTAAACATGGTATTGCTTTTCATTTGCACTCAAGCTGGAGTCCTGGTAAGGATTTGCTTCCTACATCTTCTCCTGTGTCCAGCCATACATCTCATATTGTTAAAGCACTTTATGAGTACCCATGATCATCATCCATGCCTGTTTTATCATAGTATGCAGGGTTCAGGAGCAGAACAGCCATCAGCAGCTACTTGTGTAAGCACACAGAGTTTCCACATGTCCTGTGGTGGTGTAAAAATCTGGCCTGTTGCCAGCTAAGTCCTAGGASTTATGTACAACCTAACACACAAAATCAGAGACCTCCATTTAAATACTAACAGAAAATAACAGCAGATTTCTGTCTCCACGTACATATACTGTAAACACATAGTGTTGAATTTTAATCTCCAGGAGAGATACCAAAAAATGAAGCAAAACATAACTAGGAAATTTGTGTCAATTTCTTCCACCACCAAAAMCTGTGTTCTCCATGCATTTTTAATACAGTAAGTACTTTCTTGGAGGTGATCATCCACAGCTCAACATCCCATTGTGGCTATATGTATGGCTAAGAACCGGCAATTTCAGCACAGAGCCTTGAAATAGTTGACCTGGCTAAATGCAGAGTAAGGGAGAAAGAAAATCAGGGGCTGTATTATATTAAGARTCTTACCCCTGACACAGATGTTTCTGCTCAGAGAACAGTTTCAGAAGTTGTTGGGCTTTTGAAGAAATTACATTTGTTTATGATTCTCATAAAAGAAATATTTTCCTGTATCTGGTTTTTCAAGAATTTAGTATTTCTGCTTATGAGGCCTGCAGATTACACAACTGCAAGTTTCAGCTGGTGTGAAATGTGGTGAACAGCATTCCASACGCATCAGGCTGTTTGATCTCAGCAGTCTAAAGCTAGAGTCTCTGCAGGGCTTGCTAGAGTGAATGTGCATTGTTTTCAAGTTGTGTTTCTTTCTGCCAATGGGTATGTTCCGGCTCAGACATGAGTATGTTCACCACCTTCACCAGGGCAAGATAAGATGCCATCCCTATGACTTGATCCCCCTATGGCCACATGGATTAGACAGACCCATTGAAATAATCCCACCTTCCTCACARCCTAAATCTGCAGCTCAGGAACCAGCAGTCAAGTTTGTGGCACATTCAAGTACATATCTCGGAATTTCTATAGGACATCTGRTGCCAGTCAAATTAAGAATGGGAATAAATTAATCTTTCTCCAATCAGATATGGGCTACACTGTAAAACTGTAAAAAGAACATTTAGCAGCTATTCTGTGCCTTCTCTCACAGCCACAAATGTGCACGTGTGATCAGAGGACAGCCTTGAAGCCAGGTAGGAAACACAGAGSAGATAAACAAACAAATCTCATCTCTTGCAACTCAGCTGGTTTACCAGAACACTGATGAACATAGTGACAGCGCAATGACCCATTCTTTAGCAGAGGACTGGAGGAGCAAATACATCCCCCTCCAAGTAAAATAAAACAAATCCTCATGAGTTCTCCCTCCCAAACCCAGACACTTCCTGCTGTATCTGGAAATGAGAGATCCTGTTGCTGAAGTTAAACAGTTAATTATAAAATCATGTGTAACTTCTGGTTGCAATAGGCAGAAGAGATTTGCCAGGTACTTACCTTCTAAAAAGGTGTTTCTGTGTTTCTGAAGGGTGTATGTTCAATTCAGAGCAGACAGCAAGAGAGAAAGAAGGTTCTTCTTAATTTAAAACTGTACTTACYAGAGAGAGAAGAGGAATGGCACAGCCTAGGTTTACCACTGCACAATTCCTCTGATAGTGGAATTATGACATCAGCCCCAGAGTGACTGAAACAGAATACAAACAATCAAAACAGCACTCCCCAGAGAGGTAGGCTGAAGACAGTGCCAGGTCTTAAAGAACCTCACACTTTTTGTCTTATTAATTATGGCATTTAAATAGTACTTAGCACAACGAGTGAGAGTAGAGAAATYGTATCAACTGGGATGAGAGTTTTCGTTCCTCATTTCCATCTGTAGCATTTCTCTGAGGGGATTTTTTTTTTTCTTAAAAGGAAGTAGACAAAAAAAACCCTGTAATAAATAACTGCATTTTTAATTTTAAAATTTTTTAAAAGTCGTATCTTTTTAGGACATGGATGTAGGAAAGAAACATTTTACCACGTTAGACAAAATGTCCTCAGTTCTATTTACTGTTTCCAAAAGTCAAAAATAAATATGCTCCCCAATCACTAAAGTTAAATGCAACCTCATGGGTCATCTTGATTTCTTTCAGGTATATTTGCTGCACTAGTGCAGATGACTCAGTTTTCTCCTGATACTTCCAGATGCCAATTTTCAGCATGCTGGAATCACTAATGGTTTTCACTGTTCTTATCTAGAACATTGYTAATTCCTAATGAACATCTGAAACTGTTATCTCATAAATTCTCCTTTTGTGGCTTAGACAAATAGTCCAACATGTCTTTTTATCTTCATCGGCTGTATCCCATTTTCTGAGATATTTCATAAATCAGACTGAGGGCAATTTACCCTACTTTTCTTTCCCTACAAACAACCTTAAAACCAAAAGCTGATATAGCATTCTAGCAGCAGACCTTAGCTAGGTGATGTAAATGCTGCTACACACACCTTCATTTTGCTTCACAGAGTGTTTGTTGGGTTTTTTTAATAGTGAAAAATAAAACAGAAATCCCTCAAGGGAAAAAAATACCACAATCTTCTGGCCAACAAGAAGCCAGAACCAAAAAACCTACAACCTGTTTTATTCTCATAATTTTTTCCAAGGTTCTTCTGATTTCTCCATATTCTGCATGATGGAGAAAATAGGAATTAATTCTATCAGAATAAAAACTGTAATTAAACAATCCCWTGTTTAATATCTCTTTCCATTTTGCTAATTACACTCACCTGCATTTTTTGTGAAYTGTTTTTTGGTAAGTTTTATTTGTTTATCATGGCATAACATGTGATAACATGCAGCCTGCAATCTGCTYAGAAAAGCTTTTACTGGGTGGGTGTCATGCTACAAGGATGTAAACATACAAGGATTAAAATCTTAGGTGACATTTAGAGACGTCCATTCCAGAGGTGAAACTCTTAAAGTTTCCTACAGGGACAAGTGTTCCCCAGAATGAGTATGCACCTGTGAATACACTTGGGTAGATATAATACAAATGTATTTCACATTTGTACACCTGGAGGTAGGGARGTGTGGGGGAGCAGATGTGTTAAACTTCTCTAGAGACTCCTGGTCAGGCTGATTGCTCCTCGAASACCCTAATACACTCTGCCTCCAATGTGCTCAGCAGCATCCACAGCCAGACAAATGGGGCAGCTGAAGAGGGGAAAAAACCACATTTTTCAGTGCAAACAATCTGTGATGGTCTTGTCCTATTGGGAAGCAATTCTTTGGGGCAAAGTAGTGTTCCTGCCATTTTATAATTGGTTTCCCACTCCTCCTCCTCCTCCTTTCACCACCATTTTTTTCCAAACMACCAAGTTTATCTGGTCTTTCTGCCTTTTCATTTTTCCCTTCCGCTACGTTCAAATCGGCAACACAAAAGGATGGGTGGGGTGGAGTGGAAGAGGCGAAACAAACGGGGGAAGCACATGAAAGTCCGGGTATTATTTTAGTGGCCGAGATGCCCAGAAGAGTGCAAGGTTTGTGAGGCACAGGAGAAAGCCTCCTTGCGGATCTGTACAAGGTTTGTGAGGACGAGTCCAAGGTTTGTGAGGCACAAGGCATCCTTGCGGATCTGTGCAAGGTTTGTGAGGACGAGTGCAAGGTTTGTGAGGCACAAGAGAAGGCCTCCTTGCGGATCGGCCCGGCTCTGCAGCTGCGGACAGAGCCCTCATGGCTCGCTCGGCTCCGTGTCAGCTTCAGGCACCGACCCACGCCGTGCGACCCAGCTCAATGCAGAGGTGCGGCCGCATCGCCTCCGTGGCCACAGAGCTTGCCCGGCACCGGGGGCACATTCCCATCTCCCCGAGCCGTGGCGAGCTCCCCGCTGCTCCCCGCTCCCTCCCAGCGGCGCCCACACTCGCCTGCCTCGCGTTCCTCCGGCGTCGCCCGATGGCTCGCCCCTTGTGACAGCGGCCCTAGTGCCCCTCCCTGCCGGCCGGAGCCCCGCAGCCGAGCGGGCGGCGCCCGCGAAGGAATGGGCTCGGGAAAACCGCAGCGTTGCTAGCGCCGATGTGAGTGACGGCTGCGGGGAAGCACCGGGAGAGCACCACGGCCGAGCAGGTGCATCATGTTCGCCACAGCAAGGGACATGTGGGTCCCCTGTAGGAGGGACCCCCGCCGGAGCAGAAAAACAGTGAGGAGGAGTGTTAGAAACGAGCGGTTCGGGACTGACCTCATCCTGCTTCCCTCCTTCCTGCTGCGCTCCTCTAGGAGAGGAGGGCAAAGAGTTGGGCATAAAGACGACGGTGGGGGGATGGTGATGATTTAATTTTTGGTTTTGTTTCTCACTATCAAAGGTTATTTTAATGTACAGCATATATTATGTATCTATTTTAACAGCAACTAATCAAATTATATTCCCCAAGTCAAGTCCATTTTGCCCTGTCCTTGTTCTGCCCAAAACAAGGTTAGTTTTTACAGTAACCAGGAGGGAGCAGGTCTAGGACACAGACATTATGGATGTTATTCTGTATCACCACATCACTGCCAGAGGCAGGGCAAGGGAGCCAAGAGTGTGGCAGAAGGACGAGTCAAGTGTTCTTTCTGCGTGAATCATTTGCCTCCTTTTTGTACTGTCTGTGATTTGCACTGTTCCCATTACCGTTGTTTTCTTACCTCATTGCTGTTTGGAATCCATTGTTCTCATCTCAACTGAGGATGTTTTTTTGTGCCTCCTGTCCATGAGCTGCTKGCAGGAGGAAGGAGGGAGTGAGCAGGTAGCACGTGTTTTGGAGTCTCAGTGGGAACACTAAATTGGGGAGTGCCATTCCTTAACTACAATGTAAATAACTGGTGAGTGATCTCCCTGTTTTTACCTCAACATGTGAGCTTTTTCACTTCATTTTCTTCCTGCATCAGGATGGGTATCCCACAGCCAGCCAAGGTCAGCCTTCCCCTCTGTCCACTCAGATCCTTGTTTCATCCATTGAAAGAATGACAGACAGTGACCCCCAAAAGACACAGCTCGCTGTCCCTCTGGCACAGGGAAGACTTAATAAMCAGTTGCTTACCAATAGTTTAATTCTGTTATTTACTGCACAGAAGGTRCAATAATGCTTCAAAGCTACTAGTGCACAGTCTTGGTGTGTTATGATACAAGATTATTCTCAGTATTGATCACTTACCAATGCAGCTGGTAAAGGATGTTTCAACCTTAAGACGCAACATCTAGAGGCGTCCTAGCTCCAGTGGATATCATCCCCGTGCCTCTGGCTGCTTAGCAGGGACAGACCTCAGAGAAAGCTCCCTTAGTCTGTCATATTTATGGGATCAAGCAGCTGGCTTAGAGTCAAATTACAAGTGATGGAAAAGGTAAAGGTGAGACTCTTTGTACCCAAAACCCCCTTTGTTCCAGACAAATGAGTCTCCTATTCTTGTTTAATCTTGTATTTCCAGTTCCAGTTTCCAGGTTTATAGCATTAATGCTCAACACATCACCCTTTTCCTCCATGGGTTACCAGAGAACAGATTGGAAGTAGAGAGGTTTTAGCCTGGTCATGGTCTARGCCTTTGCTGCCTTTGGAGTGTGAACCAAAGTACCATTAGTTTGGCCAAGGGGGTGGGTCCATACAGCACACCTGGCTCTGGAGGAGCCCCTGCACCTCTGAGCAGGGGATCCAGAGGTGAAAGCTCTTTTTGTATTTTGTGAGTCACTGAACTGCAAGAATGTGGCAAGGCCATATCTTAGTGAATTTTTTGACATTTTAGATCACRTCCCTTTTCCCTACCCCATACTCACCCTTTTGGGACTTGCAACAACCCTGAAAGAAGCAGCAGGCTGCTGCACCCACCTCATCAGTGTGCCATCAGTGCAGCCAGATGGCATGGGGCTTGTGCCTTGGCCACCCAGGCCCCACAACCACCTGCCTTCTCCTTGCTTGCCTGGGAGGCTTCTTGGGGTGCCAGGATGGAAAAGGAGCACAGCCAAGTGGGGTAGCAAGACAACTGCCAGGAGGTGCAGAGATGAAGTTGGCTGGTGCTTTTGAACCTTTACTTAGACAGCACTAAATTCTCCCTCTCTAGTGAGAGCAGCTTGGCATGCACTCTTGCCAGCTCATGAGTCTGCTGCCCTGTCACACACGCATACAGGACAGGCAGAACAAGTGTAACTTTTGGACTTCCACAGTCTCAAGGCAGAGAGCAGGACTTAAAGCAAAAAGGTGGTCTTTTTGCATCATACCTACTTTCTTCCCACTCAGGGCCACTGAATGCATCCTGTCTACCAATGACACAGCTGTTTTTACTGGAAATTGCCCCATACATGCATATCTTCACAATTGCATGCCTCATAACACCTACATAGTCCATAAGYAGTATTAAAGCTAATTTCCTGAAGTCCTCATAAACAGCTCCAATGAACTTCCCTTCACCCCAAATCTCTCTGCAATAAAGCAGCTTTCCCACCTTGCCCTGGATCCCTCCCATGCGCCTCTTCTTCCCTAGCTACATTTTCCAGTTGCCGCTCTGCAACCCTCTGTACTCAGCTCTTACCCAACAGCAGCAAGAGCTGCCACTGATAGATGCCACTAAGTGCAAATGCATGGATTCTGGAAGTGATTCAGGTGTGTTCCTACTCAGGCAGCTTACTTAGCAATCACTTTCACCATTCTGCCTCTGGCATGAAAATATGCTGAAGTTCTGAAATACATAATGTCCCTGGAAAGCAGACATCAGTCAGGAGCCATTATTTGAAAATAGCTTATTTTATATTTTTAAAGTTATTTTTACATACTGGCATTTCAAATTAGAAGTTTTGTTCAGCGGAATGAAGGAAAAAGTAAYAAAAGCATGGAAGACTGGTTAGAAAGGAGGAGGAGTGATTGCTCATGATAGGAAAGAAATGGTTTGAACCTACTGGGCACTGGGTCAAATGTTATGGGATGTTTATTGAACTATGCTTAGCCTACCTGATGAGGCATACAGTCAGTGATTAACTAGTGGGAGTCACAGGAAATGCTGATGCAAAAGAGTTTCAGTACTGGTACAGGCTCCCCAGAAAAGCTGTGGACATCCCATCCCTGGACATGTTCAACGCAAGGCGGGACAGTGCATTGAGCAACCTGATCTGATGGAAAGTGTCCCATCCTGTGACAGTAGGATTGAAACTACATCATCTTTAWGGTCCGTTCCAACCCAAACCATCCTGTCAATTTTATGACAAAACCCCTGCAATTCACCACAGCCCTGATGACTTCCTCTGCTTTCTCAATCAACTTGAAGAAGACTTGCAAGAATGCATGCAATTTTCTTTGGTATTCTTAACTGGATCGAATGCTAAAGAGGTCACTTGTTCCAGCACAAACTTGTGTCACCAGTCGGTAATTCCCATACTGTAAAGGGATTCTCAAGCAGTCTCAATATAGTTTCAATTTTTCTTTGCAGCCATGGGGAGCAGAGGAGATTCAATGCAGTCAACATGGCAGCTTTTTTCTTATATGTATTAAGAGGATGATAGTGAAAAATCCTTTGTATCAATATTGTGGGTTTCATTCTTTTCATGGAGCACTACTCTAACTTATTTAGTCTCCTGCATTCACACATAACTGTTTCCTGATCCATAATATGTTAATTGATCACCARTATAGTAATTTTGTTGTAATACTGTTACCCCAAAAATAATTACATGGACTGAGGATCCCAYACCTCTTAAGCACAAGCTAATATGGTTTGCTAATACTAATGGACTTGTTTCTGTCTGTCACCTCCCAAATGTGTAAGCAAGATGATTAACCTTGTATCTACAGCGAAGGTGTTGGACTCTGATAATGATGGGTGCCATCTAACTCAACATATTCAGTGATTCTATGATCAGTGAGCACCTCAGTGCAATTAGAAAAGTGATGTTCGAGAAGGGTTAGTTTAGACTAGTTGCACTCTAATGCATGGATAAAATGGAAAGCCATGGATAAAATGACCATCAGATGTCGCACACCAGGAGCTCATCATCTAGATAAATTTTATTCAAAAAATAAAATTCACACACTCCAGTTCACACACTCCACAACCACCCTGCGGACTGAAGCGTGCTAAATTTAGCATCTCTAAATTGAGSAGCCAATCAGGATGGTCTCTTAAAAAAAACACATCCTAATCAAACAGGAATGCAGACACACTGTGACACAGAACTAATAAGGAAAAACAAAGTTTGAATGACAAGGTACTAATTGGTCGGTTCAAATTAAAATTTGAGGAATCCTTTGGTCCTTTCCTCACTASAGGTCTGAAGCCATTCTGAAGTTTATGTTTCACAGCACTGTTCTAAATTATTGWTCTTTTTGCAATTTAAAAACATAGAAGTGGAGACAGACATTATAGATCATTGTACAACTCAAGCAAAACAGAGTATAAACTATTCCAGCTTCTTCATGTGTTTTTTCCACAAATATGCAACACACCTTTCATGTGGATATTGTGAGGAGCCAATTTAGTTTTGATTTGTCTCAACATTGGCTGTCAGAGGCGTGTGGGGGGAGGGTTGTACATGTGCCACTTGCAGAAGTTAACTACAAGAAGGTGGGAGAAGGCCCGGTCTCTGGGGAGACTTTGCCTGACAACCATTTCACTTTACGTGGGACCAGCAGCCAGTAGGGGAAAACCAAGACACTGTACCCTCCAGAGGCATTTTCCGAAAAGATGGTGAAAGGTCTCCACCAGCAGACTGCAGTGGTGGAGGTTGGACTGGGCCAATGGTCTCSTGCCAGAAGGCAGACTTCAGGAGGAGCCACGGGCCATGAAAAGTAACTGCATAAGCAGCTTTCAGGGATAAAATTGCTCAGGGGTTATGAGACTGTGCTTTTTGCCTTTGAGGCTTTTTGAGTGAGGGGCTTTTTTGAGACTTGCTTTTTGGCTTGGTGACTTTGGGGCTTTTTGTCTCGTCTTTTTGGCATTTTGAGCCAAAGCTTTTAGGTCTTTTGTTTCACTKTGACTCCACCCTGCTGAAATCTGCTCCTCACCCTGCCCCAGCCTGTTTTTTGCCATTTTTGCCCTGGCTCCAGCCTGCCTTTTGTCTCTTGTGCCCCCACCAGCCCTACTCGCCCCCGTGTATCTGCCTTTCCTCCTGCTGCGCGCTTGGCAGGATGCCGGCTGCCCTCCGAGCCTTGTGTGCAGCGTGTCACCCATCCCACTCCTTCGTCTGACCCAGCCGCTGTCTGCGTGTCTCCGTGTCCCTGCCTACCTGAGCCACCTGCCTCTGACCCTGCCTGCCTCCGACCTCGCCCGGCGCCACAATCCTCGCCCCGACTGTTCCGGAGGAGGTCTCGGATCTCCTGCCGAGTGCCCGCTCACTGTGTGTCCAGCAGCCCGTCACCATGGGAGAGGTGCCTGGTGCAGCCGCGCCTCTCTCAGAGCTGTCAGGCAGCAGCATGSATACTCTCCATGTGTGGACTTCCACGGCACAACCCGGTCCTGCTAGTGGTAACGCCTGCTTTTCTTCTCTGTCTCCCCCCTCTCTCTCTTCCCCTCACCATTCCTTTTTCCATTTTCCTTCCTCCTTTTCTGTCTTTTCCAGCCGTCTCTAGTAGGGTAATTCCTTTTTATTTTGCGTTCTTGTTACCAATAAAAAGGTGCTCCGATACAAGGTTTGTCTCGTTTGGCTTAGTTTTGTTCCTGACCATCTATTTCTAAAAGAACTGCTTGCAGTTTCCCACAGTGGAACCTGACAGATATCCAGAAAAAAAAATCTCCAAATGATTTAGAACTGTGTCTATATGTTAGATTGTTATTAGCAATGCATCTCTAAGACCTCAGTCAGCAGGAAATTATTTTGGACATAAGATGCAAATGTAATTTCTTTTCCTATGTCTTTCTTTTCATAGTGAATTATTTTAGCCAGACTTTCCAATGGGAAGACAACTACAGGACTCATTAAAATGTGTTTTACCTTTCATTATAGCTTATAATGAGTACCAATATGATAGTGAATCACATATACTGTAATGGAAATTGTTTTCCAAGTCAATCTATATTTTTCTCTAGCCAGCTGGCAATATTGTTTAGTAGTTTTCTCCTTTCAATATTTTCAAGTTTTGCAGATTCCAGTAGCAGAGTAATAGCCTCTCTCTCATCCTCTTCCAAAGTAGCATTATAAAAAACCTGCAGCTGAAGAAATAAACACTTGTTAACATTAGTTAACATAACTTCACTTGCAGCAAGCAACTGTGTGCCTGACAGGTGCTTTAGACAGAAATGCACAGAGAAGGGGCAGACAACAGAGACTAAAAGGGGGTTGGGGCRAGGTTTCTGATTTACACTAAAGTGRGAAAGCTCCTTACATATCAAAAATGTGCCCTTTTGCTGTTCCTTTAAAAATCCTTTCAAATGCAGTCAACTTCACTGGTACTGGTGGTACCACACTGTCTAGGACTAGCTGGGTAGCAGAATCCTCTTGAGCTGCCTGTTCTACAATCACAGAACAAGAAATCTTTCTCATCAGTCTAATAGGCAAAAGAGAAGATTGAGGACTGAAGAATAGCAAAGAAATACATGGGAGTAGTCGTGAATGAACAATATGAGAAATTAAACAGATGTCAGTATGACAATTTAACATGCCAGAAGCGCAACTATTGGTACATTTTCAGTAGACATCATGGCAGAGATTGTYTCTACAGAGAAATTTTATAGAGAAAAAGGAGACAGTTTTGATAGAATTTGTTGAGACTCTGCTCCAAACATTTGCAACACATCAACATTACATTCAATGATCCCTTTAAAAAACAAAAATTTATATTTACAAACTGGCAGTAAAGTTGAGACTAAATGCTTCTCTGGTTTACCTCTTGGATCTGTACATCTGTATTGACAAATCTTCCCATGACTTTTAGTACCTCATGCAATAATTTGTGCCCATATCTGTAAAATTGAGATAATGGTCTTTCAAACAGCACGTTAGCAAATAAACTAAAATTCATCTCATTTAAAAACACACTATTTAGTTATTACTTACTATATTGCAAATACGAACTGAGCTGAAGTTTGTAATTGTGGACTCTTTTCCCTCTTTTAAAGAACTACTACTAACATTCAATTTAGATATTTGAAACACATGAAGTACAGTAATTACCCTTCATTTTTATTTCCCAATAAAATCTGGTRTTTGGTAACATGTATTCTTTGCCTGAAACAGATAATCTGTCTAAGTCCATGAAGCCAAACTGAGCTAGAAAGTCTAACCAGTAATGTGTCTAAGAAGTCAGTGTTTCTGTTGCTATCTTGAGAGTGACGTATAAACAAACACTTGCGTAATTGTTCTAGTTTGAAAATAAGGGATCAATTTTCCAGTAAATTTCTCATCAATTTAGAACACAGAAAAGAGGACAAATTGATATGACACGAATCTGCTACAACTTGCCTGTTCTAGTATTAGCAATAAGTTATTYGTATGAATGTTCCCAAATGGCAGGTTTTGGTTATGCAGCCACTGATGGATCACAAYGGCCTGCTCTGCCATCAAAAGCAGCTGGAATATACTCTGTCACAGTCCTGCTGCTTTTTACCATTGCCAAGGAGAGAGGGAGTCTTCAAACACTCATCAAAATACTTGTTTTGCTCAAGACAGATAGTCCAAAGCTCACCTGCAGTTTACCTGCAGCAGTGCAGCTAGACTGGAGATGGGTTAAGATTTAAGTAAGGGAATAACACTGTAGTTGGTTCTAGCAGTGCTTGTGTACCTGCATGCTCTAACCACCAATCTCTACATACTCTCTGTGGAAAATAGGTGAGGATTTTACTTTAGCATTTTACACCCACACGTGTAAAATCCTAGTGGAGAAACCTACTTCTAGAGTCAGAATTCCCAGGAGTACTTAAATACACAGAAACAGTCATGAGCAGATTAATTTTTAAAGTGTTCCATGTTTGACGGCCTATTCTTTGACATTAAATCCTCATCAGAGTTGAATCCCCTGAAAACTCTGCCCTGCATTACTTAATTGAATCAATCACTACAAACATTACAAATCTCTGGAAGAAAAATTTGCACCTGAATTTTACAGCTCAAATATCAAGATAGAGGAAGACGCCAAAGTGCCACAGAAATTAAAGGAAGCCAAAACTTGTTGCTTACCCTTTAGTTAAAAGTGGCCAATTTTCTGTAACAAAGTCCCAGGCTATACGGTGCCCGATATCCTTAGTCATTACATGTGAGATGATGGCTGAAGTACGGTTGGAAGAAAATAATGTGTCACTGAGCCCATATTGCAAGCATCTGTTGGAAAAGCAGGAAAGAAATTAGCCTGTCACTTGCTGTTTTACAATGGAAATATATAGTATTACAATCTGGAAATATAATCCAGTTCACAAAAATTTCAGGAGATTCACATCACTCTGACTCAGATGGAGCCTACGGAGTGCACCAGCAAAGAGTCCCTGTTACACGAAAGTGACCTGTTTATAGGGTGCCCTATAATTAGACCCAATAAGTTTTTTTTATGACAGCTAAGGCAGGATTTCAGAAGTATTTTAGGAAGCATGTGCTAATGATGTCAGTGGCAGTGACTGACATTTTCTTGTAACTGCAAAAAATTCAGATGCCTGAATATCTTGAAAAGTAATTATTCTCTTTGTTGCCTCAATATTTTTACATTGCATGTTCCTACTTTCAAACTAACCCTTTTAGAATTATTTTTTCTTAGGGTCTTGGAGGCAGCTGCTTTATGRGTAGAGTAGTTGAGTTTGTACGCCACCACTATGTCTAACATAATGGACAAAGTATAGTGAGGGCCAGGAAAAGTGTATCTTAACATTCTTCACCCCAGAAAACTCCCAGGGTGGCATTTCAAAAAACAGATTGGCTGATCAGCCACTAAGGCATGCAGAGGAAGAAGCTCATCAGAACTCCCTGATCTCATCAGGGAATAGTGCTAGCCTGTTGCAAGAAAAATGGCAATAAAGGATCATAGTTTAAGTGGGAAATCAGCATAGCTGATTTGGCGTCTTTTTGCAACACTTCTTTATCTTATTCCAGGCCATATTTGTTCTGTCTTCCCAAATGACTACCRCACTAGAGCAGGTGGCTGGAAGGAGTAAAATACTGCTGCCAGACCTTTAGACCCATGGAGGTTATGCAAATGCTTGGATGCTCATTCTTTAGATGATCACTGCCAAAATTCCATCACTTAACAACTGCTTTAGATAATATAAAAACAACCGATTAGAGAATTCAAAATGTTTTTACTGACAAAGATACAAATGCCAGTAAAAGAAAAACACAGTGTTCCAAACTCTGTTCTGGAAAMATTTTGACAAGACTCTAAGATATATGTCTTAACTTTTTGATTGGCCCACATAGAATCAGGACTTAAGWCTTGATGATACACATGTATCTGCAGAAGGATTATTTATTTGCTCCATATTTTATACTTCCTCCATTAGAGCTCTTATAACTTTCCCAGTGGAAGACACATGTTTCTGGGGCAAACAAACCTCCACCAGCTTTGCACAGTAAAGTATTTTTGGTCTTATTATTTACTTCTATATACATAGAAATACTTTGATCAAAGTCACCTGTGAAGTAACCATGATTCTTTGGCACAGCTCATGGCATAGAGTAGCATGTCTTCCTCTTCCTCTATGGCATCAGTATGGTTATACATTTGCCATGCAAAATTCCATTCTTTATCACTTCCGATTGCAACACCATAACAGTAGACTGTTCTTCTAATTAAAAAGGGAATTCTACAAGGCGAAATACAATTATAAGGTATAGTACTGTTGTAGAGGCAAGCCTTGTTCTTAATGCATAACTGAAAGCAAATGTTTATTCACAGTTAATAAGACACACCACAATGGAAATACAAAATAGCAATATAAATAAGGTAAGAAATTTGATTTTTATTAATGACTTAAGCATTGAAAAAGCATGGAGTTTAACGGAAAACTAACAACCCTGACATTTTTAGAGCATTTGGACCAGACTATTTTATGTACATACAGTGTCAGTGCCACTGTTTTCCACCACAACCCAGGAAACGGATCACACCGTTGAAAACTATTCCACTGCATACATGCATCATCCCAGACAAGCTATTTCAAAATTTCTTTAGCGAGTGCATCCAGTAGGAAGAGCCATTTACAGCACAAAGGAAACAGCAGGGACATTTTTCCATGCAACAGGCAGCCTCCTGTTACTCCCASTCCAGGAAAGAGTCCTCAACACGGCACTGAATTTCATAACAGAAACTAAATGCAAATATTACCAGTGTAAAGCTCCATATGCAAAGGCTGAATAGAAAATGATGTGTGCCTGACATTAAGACATTGTAAGTACTTTCTGGTGATAGCAGTATTCTACTGTGCAGGCTATCTGAAAACAGTTTCAACTAATGGTATTTTGGACTAATTCCCTACAGAAAAAAAGGGTCCCATTGCTACAAGCAAAACATCTAACTTCCTGTTATCATACTGTTAGTCTGCTTATCATTGCATTAAAACAAAGATTGTAAGTAAAGGTGTAAAAATTATTTTTCCATAGACTTGGAAAACCAGACAAGTTTCTGGTCACAAAAGCCATTCTTCAGGCYCAAAACTGGAAGCAGCAAATTCAAACTTAAATACAATTTGAGAAAAATTTCTGAGTTTCAGCAGACTATCCTAGAGAAAAATAAGGATGCTGCCAACAGAGTAAGTCAGTCAGAACGAAGGATATAGGACATCAGTCTTTGGAGTACAAGGTAGAAAACAGGAAGTTATAAACTCTGGTATGAAGGACTAGTAAGAAAGAGAGCTGCATGTTTTGCATGACAGACATCACTTGTTAATGAAAGGCACAATACAGGGATTTTCGTAGTCCTGTTTCAAGTGGGGGGTTTCACTGTYATAATAACAGAAAGCATGGCCATGTTTTGTATTTACTAAAAAAATAATTTGCATCCCTTTATCTAGATATTTTCTGGGACATAAGGGGTTTGCCACCAAGACATGTAGAGTAGTAACATSAGGCTAAGTATAGTCCTGTGAGGAATTCTTCTAGGACAGATCTTATTTAAGTTACAGGGTCTAGTAATTTGTTCAATAATCCTTTCRTAATGTTGCAGCAAGACGTCATGGCAAGGTGATAAGAGGGTAAAACTCTTTCAGCCAAAGCACAGCTATTTATATTGCTACTGAAGCTGTTCCAGTAGATCCAAGARAATGTTCATTACTAAATAAAAAGTTGTGGGGGAAGTGTGAATAGACAAGTTCTGTATATCATTTGGCCGCAGATCTGATGTTCAACATTCAAGGCAGGCTGGATGGGCAGCTTACTGTAGGACAATGGTCTGCTGGCTGGTGACATCTATGGTGGCCCRGAAGCAGTTTAGGTAGCATAGTTCCCAGAGGGTGTCCACTGTGGTCCAGAGGGACTTTGGAGCTTGAGGTTTTATTAGAAGAGGAATGTGACTTACTAATCTTGGTATTTTTTTTCTGGTGGTGGCTGTGTGATTTGACATTACTGGCCTGCTGAGAWTCCTCATTTCTGGATCTTGGGGAAGATGCAAAAAGCTGCTGGAAAGCAGACCAGGTGATTTTACGTTGGTGTTTTGAAACCAATCCAGAAATGACATAGTGATTTCTTAACTTTCAAGAGCAGCAGCAGGGTATTTGAACCTTTAGTAAACAAGTAAAATGTACAGCAATGCTGTCTCTCCCTCTAGGCTATTTCTTTCTTTCAAAAGGCAAGCCAATAACAGCACTTAAGAGAATATATTGATTTAGTGAGCTTCACTACATTCCTATAATGAACAAAGAGTAAAATTGGGAAATTGGCTGGGAATTACAGCTCTTGGGTTATTATTTCCACAAAACAGACAAAAATGCACTGCATCAAGTCCAGTTACATTCTGCCASGAAATGGAAATGTTCAGCTGGAAGTTGATCATCCAATCTGAACAGAAAAGCATTACTTAATTCGACAGATGCAAGAATACTACTGGGTTCCACCTGTGCCAGAACAGCTGCARTGTGTTGTTATGAATTTGCTCCCAGCGTGGAGAACACAAGATCATCTAAAGGGATTTGTCTGTGAAATATGTGTGTGAAATACAATRCAAAGTTTATTGTGTCTGAAAAGTCTCCTTATTAACTGCATAGGAACAGTGATCTGTTGCTTGAAACCTAAGAATTGTCCTATCATCTGTGGAGTTTTCTCCTTAAAATATGATCCTTTATTTCACTTAACAAAATTCAGATCTTCATTTTTCCACACTTATGTCTCAGTAAAATCCTTTTGAACTTTTCTCAGTGCTGAGAAGGACAGCAAAATTAAAATTCTTCATCAATTTCAAAACCAAATAATCTAATATATTTCACAGCCTTTTCAGCTCTTCAAGTCAAGCAAGGTATGTAGTATTCCATCACTTCAAATATTATTATTATTATTAAGGGAAGATGATTATTTTGAAAACAGACTCACAATTCAGCATAGCATTGTTGCTTTTCATGTGAAAATACAAGAATATTCCCTCTAGAATGGAACAAAATGTATTTAGGCTATTTAAATGTTTCCATCTAACTGCAAAGCTCAGTTTGGCTTTTATGAGGATGATTACTATGAAGCTATTACAGAAAAATCAGACTTAATAGTACAAGTTCAGTTTACTGAGCCAATTACATAAATCAACGAGATACAAATAGAAACAAAATAGTTATCACAACTACAAATAAAAAAAGTAAATGTTGAATATTCACTCACCAGTGCCAACACTATTTGACTATTGCATAGAAAGACATACAAAGAAAGAGGGAGGAAAAGAGAACAAGAATTTCAATAAATTGTAAATATTCTTTAATAATACAATACTTAAATATGGAAAGTGTCTTCCTGGTAGAGTCCAGACACTATTCTCACAATCCAGACCCCTGACCACTATGCTCCAGTATCACTATAAGGACTGACAGTTGTTCCCAACACCTCTTTACATGAACACAGAACATGCAAGGTACGTTGATGGGCTCACTATGGGTAGATGGCTGTATCATGCAAACATCGCTTCACTCAGTGTTGTTAAGCAAAAGCTTAGAAGCTGAGTTGGTATATGTGACAACCCCAGGCTTGTAGTGCAGCAAAGGGACTGGGCCACATGGTGTATTAGCACTAACAGGAGGATCACCTGTTACATGGTTAAGCAGATTTTGGTCCTCATGGCAAAATCTGCATCCTCCAGCCTGTAAAGCCTATGCAAAAGCAGTAATTATTAAATCATCATAAAACTGGGATTTGGGAAAGAGGAGGAGGTTGGGGAGACAGAGTTGTCTTAAATTCTGTCATTCTGTCAAGAAATGAGAGCAGTGTACAGAAGCATGCCTCATTCTGCCTTCCCCTTGTAACAGCATTTTAACTTTCCASCTCCCTTAGACATGCACACCTCTCAGAGCAGATCATCACTCTTACTTGTATTCAGAGTTGTCCATCCACTTAGCATACAGTTCAGATGACAGGTCCAAACAGTCTTGAAGGCCCAGCCAGCATGCTGTTGCAAAGAGTTTTTCCAAATACATTCTTGAAGGCAAGATGTATTAAAACAGTAAGAATAAAAGATATGCAAAAGAATAAAAGATGCACATACCACATCTGGAGTGCTTGAACTGTGCCCGACCACCACAGTTTCAAAATATGATGATGTTAACACATAGAAATCTCTACCAGGAACAGCTGAGTTTTAATAAAATAATTAAACAAACAATAATGGTCTCCTGATATTAATATTAATGGCTATTAGTGAGGCAACCAATTTTTTGTTCTATTTTTGTATGGTTTATATCCCTCTTGGAAGTTTTAAGGTACTGTTTCCCTCTAGTCTGATGGCTGTGGCTGCAGTGGCCTTGCAAAATGAAGCATTTTAAAGTTTTAGTGATTGATACAAAAATTGTATCTTAAGTTCATTGCTGCCAGTTTTTTCTTCAATTAGCAGCAGCAGCAGCCTGTTGAGCCTGTTCTCTGATAAATGAAAGCTACCACTAAGATCCTTAAACTCTCATCCTTTATGCTCCTATCCTAATACTGCAATTTTCATTGGAGGTGTATCATRAGTGATACACACTTACAGGACAGTAAAATAATAATTCGGTTACATTCACATTAGTTAGAGAATTATTCCTATATCTTGTATTTAAATTTACACAAGCCAACTGCAATGTGTCAGATCCAATCACACCAGAGAAAACTTTTAAGAAAAGCAGAATACTTACTGAGCAAAATGGTCATCTTCCAAAGCATCAGTGTTTTGACGAATAAAACCTGCATAATAATGGTATATTGGCAACATTCTCTTTAAAAGGTATTTCTTTTAAAAGAAGGGAAAGAAAAGTTACTTTCATTTAGATATAAGTTTTTACTTTTCTGTATTTCTTTCATATTTACTCAGATTTATCCTAAAAATCCACTACTAATTTCTTGAAAACACAGGACATTAAAATAAAATAGAAATTTGGTCTAAAATTGAATATACCTTTATCTCAATTCAAACTGGCACATTACCATTTCATATCACTAGGATTTTTTTAACTTATTGAACGAAAATATTTTTTAAGTAATGAAAGAAAAATTCTCAGAGAAACAGGCAGGGAAAAACCCTTCTGARTAGGAAATATTTCTTCTCATTTATTTTAACATACCTTTACTTKTTAGAGCTTAAGAGAATACTGTACAATTGTACTTTAGACATAAATGAAATCTTCAAACAGATTTCAAGGAAACAAATATGACTGTACTATCTCAGGTAAGTCAAATACGGAAGAGAATAAATTCCCTAAGTATCCAAACCCAGTTCCTTCTTTCACTTCATGAGGATGAATAGAAAAGCAGTATGAAGCACCAAGCATATATATACTGTATACTATATGCCATTTATACACAGCAGCTTTTCACTTGCTACTGACGCTGTGTTTTCCAGACTCTCTCTTTCAAAAAACCCAAGGATGAAGCTTAATGTAAAGAATGTGAATATATTTCTGCTTTTCAATAAGAATGACCTAAGATCAAGAAGACTTATCATTGGCTAAAATTTATAATTAAGTACCTCCTCCTGTTAAAAGACAAAGGTTGATAAAGTAATGCAAAGGGAATTACAAGAACTCTGACTCATCAYAGTCACCACTACATTTTTGAGAATTTAAAAAGCATTAATTTTAGACATATATTTGAATAGCCTAGTATCTTTGCTAACAAAAYGGTCATACCTTTAAAAGTGGATATACTTCATAGTTCTTCAGTGTACTTTCCAAATTATCAGGTATTAGGTTTAACAATACCACATTCCATATGAAGAGTTCATCTTCTTTGGCAAGGTATTTTGTTAGTTCAAGTGCTGTTTCAATTGGAACATAACCAAAGCTATGTAAAAAAAAAAAAAATGCACACATTTTAACATACTTATTCACATAATTTACCTACCACAAATATCTGTTTATTTATGAAACAGACAATAAATAAAACATCAGGGAACTGTTTGGAAAGTGACCTAGAAAAGACATTGGAAAAAATAAATTAAGCAGAGCTGATTTTAGGAACTGAATTCTCAGAACAACTGTTAAGGGGCACAGTGTCACTATCCAAGCAATAGGACAATCATGGCAGTAAGCATGGCAGTATACACACTGTATCTGCTCGTGTCTGCAGGATACAGTACAAATACCTTTACAGGGTATGTCAGGYCCACAGAAACAAAATAAAGAATAAAAGCGCTGTTTTAGCAATAATTTTTTTTTTTTTTATTTTTGTTGGAAAACAACTTATTTTCATTGCATGTTGTTTTCATTTGAAAGAAGTGTCTGCCAAGAAAGGTGGGAACCTCCCTTGGAACAGAGAATATGACTTCACTTCCCTCTGAATTATTATAGCTTTGAAATCAAGGAGCTTTCAAGCAATGATATGGGAAAATGAATAACATTTCTTTACTAGTATTTATCACAAGGCAACCAACACCAAGGGCAGCGACAAGAAGCAAAGCCATAACCCCAGYGCAGCCCCCTCCGGGCTGTCCCCGCCCTCCCCTGTGCTGCAGTTCCGCTCACGGCCGGCAGGGGCGCTGGGGGTSCCGGCGGGGCGGTGATTCCTCCGCGCCGGCAGGGGGCGCTGTGGCGAGAGCTCAGCCGCGTCTCTCCCTCACCCGRCAATGGCGGGCGGGCGAATGGCGGGAGTGGCGGAATGGGCTGCAGCAGCGAGCTGGAACGGCGGGGCTGGCTCAGCGGGGTAGCAAGCAAGCGGTAGCAGGAACGCCGCAGCTGTTGCAGGAGCCACGGGATGTTGGGTTACAATGTAGCAAAAAACTGGGCGGAGCGGCAGAAAAATGGAGGGGTTTGAGCAGGGAATGGCTCCCCTGGGAGCTCACCGGCGATGGCCGGGCCCTGGGTCCAGGCTGTGCACAGCTCCCGGCACAGGACCGCGTACCCCGGTCCCGGCGCGGCACACACTGGCTCTGGGCTCTCAGACAGTAGAGAAGCAGAGAAACGAGGCAGCAAGCTCAGGCTCAGAGCCAAAGGAGAAAGAAACAAGAAGAGGCAAGGCTGACGTGGCACAGTATCTACGGTAGAGACACGGTGCTGCCTCACGCCCAAATCGCCCGCGTGTCCGGATGGCGGAGCGCCCCTTGGCTGCCTCTSCAACTGTCGCAGGAACTCCCCTGCTGGGGCACCTTATCCCGATATTGCCTGGTCGGGGGGCTCGCTGCGTTTAAAATGGCGACAATACTGACCACCCCAAACACAAAACAAAAGGAAAAAAAAAACCGAAGATGGGCTGGGATAAAAAGACACCCCCAAGACACAGGTTCTTTTGTGGAATGTACATTATTGTAAAAATTGAACTATTAAATATATACGCACACCATTCGTGGAATTAACTACTTCAGCATGGCATTTCTGTCCCTCAGTGTGGAATAAGCATGGAATTCATTTTTTTCGCAATGAAATTCCAATTCAAGACCTGTCCTCCAAAACAAAGACATTTTTGGTGTACTTATGTAGCAGCAGTTCTACATTTCACAGTTATTCCTTATTAACAATTAGTTTTGAGCTCTTTTATGAAAAAGAACATTTGTATGGGATGAATGCAATTGTGTCACTTAATCCTATTCTGTGACATATCAGAAATATACTTACTGTGCCAATGCAAAAACATCATCTATCAGCTGGAACCTGCTGACAGCGGGAATAACCTGCAGAGAGCATCCATGTATTGTTAACAGATTAAAAAATGTCATGAAGAATTTACAAAAAACTTTACTGTGTTTCAGAAGAATAAGACAAATCCCTAACAGGTTTTCTAAACCAAAATAGCCTACAAAAGTTTGTAAAATGGATCCTGCACTTCGTGCTGAAATTATTTATATGCTGTAAGGGATGTTTTTACATATATATATATATGTATGTATATATATGTATACACAGCTACATAGTATATTATTTTGTATATAAATAYACAATTACAGAAAATTATACTAATTCAAGACCCCTCTTACTTGCATGCTGTAATTAAAATATGGAAATGCCACATTTCCCAAAAAATATCCTAGTAACATAATTTTGGCATGTTCGGTATGTTTGGTCCTTTGGAGTCTTAAATATAGAAAATGTATTTGGTGCAGAGCAGAGTGCCCAGCACTACCATGAAATAAATGACTGAGGCACAGCCATGGGTGTACCTCTGCCTACGGCTCGTGTTCTTGTGGTCTTTCTCGTCTCCTCCTTATTCCAGGCCTCTGCAGTTTGATCACTGCTTGAGCAAACATTCCCTCTGGCTGCTGGAAGCRTAAAGCAGTGCAGAAATGCAAAGCTCAACATGTGATGCTGAAACCAGACAGAGATCCGATCGTTTGTGCTGAACATCCACCAAGGAGGAATGTGAAGCGGAGTGGAAACCACGTGGCCTTGTTCTGCCTCTTGATACCACGAAATAATACATACAGCATGACCACAAGGAACGGAAGGTTTTGCACAACTGCTACCAAGAGTACATCCTATCAAGAAATGTTACCACAAAGAACAGACAGTTTGACCACAGTGCCACCCACAGCACTTTGCACAGTTGTGGTTAATAAGGCATGGAGTGCACCCTGATTTTGTAATTGGTGAGTGGGAATTTGACACAAAATTGTAGGCACAGGTCTATRTACCCATCCTGGCCCTTCCCAGAAGAGATGCCTTATGGTAAAGCTTGCATCCTTTCCCATACCAAATGTTTTCACTCAAGAAATTAAGCTTGTGATTGCAATCATATTGTTAGTGCTATCCATAGCTATTCTGCAGTTAATGCATTTGTCACCATCAATCCAAAAGAACTACTTACATTGCTTTTAATAAACCATGCTATTTGTGAACCTGTCTGGTTTGAATGTGACCAAACCTGTATTTAATAGACTATTCTATTCGTGCACCTCCTGTCCAGCCCTTAGTTACATTTTTGTAATACTGTATGGCACCAAAAAATGCCCCATGTCAATGCACACCTAGTTTCCCGATGATAGATTGGCTGTGAAAGAAGCCTAGAAGAAATGAAGCCGGTGTGCTGTAGAAAGGTTCAATGGGCTCTCATCAGCCTCGTGTCCAGACTTTCTAGAGAAGACTGATTGCACTAATTACTATTATGCCAAAAGGTTCATTTTTCTCTCTTTTGTTACCAAAACCAAGAAGCTGACATTACTACTGGAGCCTCTGCCTGGCTGTAGGATTAGGCAACACTGGAAATTATGCAAACCCATATAGAGTCACATTGCTCCATTTCCACCTTCAGTTTAGGTTATGGCAAGTTGTGTCGGCCAAAAGCCAGCACTGCAGCCCTGCAGGTTCTGAAGTTGGACTTCAGCAGAGAATTGTATCCCTAAGATGTGCTAAAAACTGAGGCGAGTTTAAAAGCTTAAGTGAAGACTGATGGGACAGAGGAGGATGTTACCAAGGCAGCGTAGCAAACGTAGCAAATGGCCTTGGATGGCTGTGATAAAAGGAAGAAGGAATGTTGAAGAGGAACAAAGCCAGATGACGCACATGCCTAAGACGGAGCAAAAGAAACTGCAAAGCTAACAGCACAGSCGCTTTTGCAACTATTATAATGCACCAATCATCTGCTGGTAAGTAGAGAACAGACTGCTAATTGGCCAATAAACAGCTGCCACTTACGCAGGAGACTAGTATAAACACTTACTAAACAGATAAAAGGGGCTCAGCCCGCTAATAAAGGGGTCTTTGCTCATTGCTTATGCCGTGTTTGTCCATCTCTACTGCGACAGCAAGTCAAAGGTGGGATGAAATCTGCTTTGAGTCAGTTTCTACAGAGGGCTGAAGGAGCCCAAATAGAATTGTTTGGAACTTCTAGAAAAATTCACTACAACTAAACCAAAAACAAACAAACCCCAGAAAACCCCCACCAACTACCAAAAAAAAACCACCAAAAAAGGGCAGATTTGGTTGGTTTTTTTTTTAATTCCACAGGCAAAAATGTTGKGGTTTGACAAAATGTGGGGCAAAAAAGTTTTCTCACAACTTCCCTTCTCATGGTTACCTTACACCAGATAAAGCTGATTCACACATTTATACTGAAAGCTCCTTGAGCCAGATTTAAAGAGATTGAAAGAATCACAAGCTGTTAAGACAAATTTGAACACAGAATGTCATGTAAACTTATTTTTCATGCTTATATAAAACTGTTCAGGCCTGTCATCTTCCACTACAAAAAGCCTGTGACTTTAGGGGTACAATGGAGAGTTTGTCATTATTCCAGGTTTTGATGAATGTGATTTTAGTAAAAACTGCAAGAAAAAAATACATGGAAAGAGTCTGCCCATAAGTTTGACTAAACAAACATGATCTTACCTTTGGATCTTTTTCAAGCAAGCGTGCTAATCTCTTCAAGTTTAATTGGTCATAGTTCACTCTGTAGTATCCACTTAAATTTACATTTAGCAAGATCCAGTCGTGTGCAGACTCTGATACTTGCATTTCAGGAAACATTTCTGTAAAGTGATATTAGAATGTATGATTTTGTTTTCCATGCACTGCTTCTCTTGCATTTATGAGCAATGGTCTTGGTACCTGCTCTAAGACCTGGGACACAAGTTTGAGGCTGGACTCAAAATGAATCCCCCAAAAGCTCAGTGCACTTGTGATCTCTGCTCTGCGCAGCAGAATGATTTCAACAAGGCACTGACTCCTGAGGTGGTGAGTACCTTGAGATTCTAAAGGGTTGGCTGAAGACCACTTTGCTCCTACCCTTTACTGCAAAGGCAGCTGTGAGAGTTCAGAAAGTTTACCCACYAATAAACCCAGAGGATGAGGGTCAATATCCTCACACACCTGCTCTTTCCAGTGGTGCTYCAAGATCCAGTGCTCAGCACCTTACAGAGGAACTGACCACCGACCAGTATTCACATAAATGGAAATCAAGAAGACCAAAACTCGTAAGTTTAACCAAGACACAAGTAATCAAAATGCATTTTAAAGAAGATAGTCCCATAGCTACATCGTTCACTAATAGCTTCCTTTGCAGTCCATCTCACCCATTCAATCCATCTCACATGTGTTCATGTCTGATTGACTGCTCCTGATAGCCTACTGTGCGTTGAGGGAGCTGGTGCAGCCTTGAAGGCTCCAAGCTGCCTCATCAGAGTATTCAAGTGCTATTTTCACTGGCTACAACCATCCCCATATGAGAAGGCAAACTCTCTTAAGACAGTAAGACAGAAGTGGTGAGTAGTCTACATCCATCAGTGCTTTACTCTGAGACTCCAATACTTAGACAGAGCAAGTACTGCAGGATTCATCTGGCACTCAGAGGAGTATATATCCATTTTTTCTTATTTGCCTGTCTGTATACAGACAAAGTAACGATCACTCAAGCTATCTTATTGTCTGAAAAAGAGAGGAAGTAACTTTTAACCACTGCAAATAGAGGGTGGAGAGCTGCAATAGCAATACACACAGCATACCGATGATTTGCTCTTAAGCATTCCAAGGCATTAGTCTCTGCATCTTCTTTTGACTCATCTAAATTACTTAAATCATGGCTGATTTGCCAAGGAAAAATGATTACCCCATTCTTAATGATTGCAATTCTTCTTTCTCAAAAAATAGAGCTGTTTATTGGAAAGCACTGAGTTGAAAAAGAACTGAATTTTTTATTTGGTTGGAGATTCCCATAAAATTACTTTTCTATTATAAGGGTTTAAAACTTTTTAAAATCCTACTCTTTTGATAAGAGTACTTTTTTCATTCAATTTGCATAAACAAATTAAATGCTGTTGAAAAKAATAATTTTCTGCTGTTACACATATTAATGTGTAACAATATCAAGTACTTCCTACAGACGGTTTTAGTTTTTTCAGTCTTCTATCTACTTCAATCTACTGACAATTTTCTGGTACTTCACAGCTGAGATTACACCTATACTTASGATATTTGCATCAATGGCATTAACATCAATAAGATTTCTTGGAGCAAGAACAATACAGAAGCATGATGATCTAAGAGTTCGCATTTTTTGTAAAAAATTACAAAATCAAAATTTCTGTGGAAATCCCTATTCATAATATGTGTTGTACCACATTATTAAAAACTCAAGCATTCACTGAAGTTTGTTGTATCATAGAAAAGAAGATTATATTGACCTAATTGAAAATCTACTGCTACTGTGACACAAAATCATTGCAATGGATAAACACAGACATTTCTGTATTGAAGTTTTTTCTCCTGATTCAATTCAAATATAGCCTCTGTTTTTAGAAGACTTTGGAGTGTTTTCATAAGTTTGGTTTTAGAATATTCAAACAAATGCTTTACTTACTGCTGCTTTTATCTAGCCAGGTTAGGGGTTGTGATGATCCATTTCTCATCCAAGAAATAGGAATAATCCAGGTGTTACTTAACAAAGAAAAGGATATTATTATAATTCTTACACTTAAAAATCCCTCTGAGCTGATGCTAAATCACAATGCAGATTAGTTCAGTCTAACAAGAATGTCCATCTGCTCTCCTCTCTGATGCATGAAACCTCATCAGATGATGGTATGCGGGATCAGCATTTAGCTTCTCCAAAAGACAGTTTAAGCATCGCTTTTAAAAGGTACTCATATTAAGAATATTGTTCAGTGCTAGGTATTTAAATACCATTGTCTCTCTGTACTGCCTTTTCTTCTTCAGGCAGTAATTTTATTCCCCTCATTTATTACATTTTATTTCTGGAGAACTTAAATCTACTTTTCAGAAGGGCATCTACCAAGAAAAACAAAGATACTGTCATCCCAGACAAACGATATTGTCATTCCAACAACTGTAATTTCTTTTCTGAGGTAATGTAAAACTCATTTCTGTTAAAAGAGATGAAAGCTTCAAATGCCTGAAAAATTCTGTAATACATATCCTGGATTTTTTTACATTCCCATGGTAATTTGGTTTTGCTAACTGTAAAGAATTTCACATTTGTAATTTGGAATTCCTTATCTGAGCTAACCAAGAATATTGAATGGATTCATGCCTTGCAGTTCCTGGAGATTGCGAGCAAAGAAARCTCTGTGGCTCTTGTCAAAATTCATTTTGCCTGTTTGTATTAGCATCAATAACTTCCAAGAAAAAACTCCTTTGGATTTTGCTCTCCTTTCCACCTTTTCCTCACATGAAAAGTCATCTCATGGGCTCCATCTGTGCATCCCAAAACTCATGTCAACTGCTCCTTCATAAATGTTCAGACTCTAGCAGGAGTTTCCAAAGTGGACGATGAAAGGCAGCTACTTCTATCACTGTTTTTAGACACCTCAATTCCCAGGCACTTAGCAATGCTTACTGACAAGAACTTAATACTGCTGGTCAGGTGTTAGCACTTTCTGAGAAATGGTTCATTTRTATAAATATTTAAATTGCAATTCTTTTATCCTTGTCAGAAGAGACTGGGAATATGTGCACTGTAAAGAAGCTAAGCATGGAYCATCCAGGTCCCCAGTCTGTAAATCTGAGGGATAAGAAGAAAATTCCAGGCAAAAATCCTCCCTGCAACATGCTCATGGCCTATGTCTGTCTTTATTAYTTTGTGGTTGAAAAAGCCACTATTCCAGAGGAAAACAGCTTTTTGGCAAAACAAGCAGAGTTTGCAGAACTGCTGCAAACCKCATTGTCAAATAGATTTTACTTGACTGCTTGCAACAAGAAAAAAGCACAAATTAAAAAATGAGATCGTCAAAATGTGTTGTCATAGCTGAAGAGTTTCCTGTGAAAAACAGGGTATAAAGATACAATAAAAACACAAGCTAAACATACTTGTAAGAATCAGCACTCTTTCTATTCTTTTTATTAAAAAATTGTTCCTGTCTGATTATTCCAGTAGTTAGATTTAATGTTAAAACTGGAAACCCATTTTGGCATGTCCAGGAATCCATTATTTGCTTTACAGATGCTGGCAGCTGAACTTCATCCTGTGCATCTATGACCTACAAGRGAAGGAGGAATTAGAAATATTTATGATGAGCAGGTACTCAAYATTTCTTCAATGAATCTCTGGGAGTTGTTCTAACATAGCAGAGAAAAAAAACCTGTTTAGCAGCTTGCTGGTCTTTGACTCATGCAAAAAATCAATGTAACAAAGTCCAAAGAACATTTTGACTTTATAATAAAGACATATTAAAGGCATAAGCCTTTTTCAGGAATTACTAAATACTGAGATGACATTTCTCACTCTATAACCTGACTGCTAACCTTTCCCTTTTAGTGTTAATATATTTATACACTTGTATGGCTGATTTGTTAATTTCATTCAAATAAAACTGCTCGAACATGAAGATTTTTTAAGTGACATAATCTACAAACTGAATTAATGAAGACAAATTGAAAAAGACATTAAGCTGGAGTCCCAATTAGTGTGAATTGTACAGACTTCACTGGCTTAAAACATGCAAAAATCTTTCATATCTGAAATTGCAGCACTCCCATTTTTAAGACAGAACCTGCAACATAACAKAAGCCTTCTTTAGAGGACCAGGAAAGAGGATTTATTCTTTAGAGGATAAAGAGGATTATTATTTATTTAATAAATAAATCTAATATTAGCATCTGTTTTCTTAGTCAGATTACTGCCAAAACCATCRAAGGGTGAAATGCTGAGCCACTGCCCTGGGTATAGACTTCACTGGATCTGTGACACCCCAGCATCTTTGATTATCAAGCCCAAGGCGTCACACACTCTAATCTGGCAAAACCTTAGCTCCAGAACAATACGCTATGCAATTCCATGTAGACTTAGGCCATTACCATGAAACCCAAAACTTTGCCTGGTCCTGATTTCCTATCTCATCTCTCTATTCTTTGTATTTAGTTCCACTGATCTCAGGTGAAGCAAAGCAGCCAAATACACATTTGAGAAGCCACTAGCTGAAAGAATCAGCAAAGCAAATTTTATTCAGGAGAAAGACTGCACTACAGATAGCTACATTACAGTGCAGTCCTCTACAAATAGTTTATGCCTTAAACTTAGACTGTGCCAAACATCAGAGARGGAATACTAGAGGTATAAAATAGGTACCATCTGGATGTGGGTCCAGAGATCATCTTGATTAGCATTGGAGAAGGAAAATTCTTTCAGATATGACTGTGTGGAAACAAACAGAAGCATCAGAATTCATAAATGTTCAGCGCCATTATTAAGGCAAGCAATTTGTACAACTGACATTTTCAAGCTTGTAAATCAAGATGAAGAGATTGTTTTTCAAACTTACAGTAAGTGCTCGGATGAACAACTTTTCAGACAGGAAACTAGAAAGCATCCAGGTTATAGAAGCCCCCTAGAGTACAAAAGAAAAAAAAAAAAAAAAAAAAAAAAAAA